CAATCACTTGTCCATAATATTGAGTAGCAAGATCAAGATGAGGTCCACCTTTTTCTTTAAATACATCTAATACCTTACGTACACTATCTCTTCCATTTAAAATTGCCTAAAAATAATTACAAAGAGTTTGTACATATTGTATACATTGTTCTATATTTAAAAAAATATAAAATTACTTTTCCAGCCATACTGCGGAGTGCTTGATCAGACTTTGCCAACTCTTCTTTAAGTGATGACAAACTATGCTGAATAGTATTTTCTTTACGCCACAACTCACTAATTACATATTAATTTTAATAAATAATTTCTATACTTAAATTAATTCAAACAATAAATTATTTTTCTTATGACCTTGATAAGAATATGTAAAATTGAAATAAGGTTAAACTTACTTTCTCTGACTTTGATGTTGGTCTTTTGCTTTTTTTAATTCATAATACTTTTTATTATATTCGTCAATAGCAACTCTTTGTTTTTCCAATTCAATAGAGTTCATCTAAATTATATTAAGGTTTAATAAGTACAACATTTCAAGATTACTCTGATACTTTTGGTGGAAATAAAAATGTTTTTATAAATGGTATACAATAATTCAAGTATTGTAATAAATGTAGACTACTAACTACAAAGAATATGTTTTAGACATTTGAATTAAGAAAATGAGCTTATTTCAGTTAAATAATGAATAGTTATTAACAGTTATTCAAGGTAAAATAAATAAATAGATTAGAAAATATAGTTGCAAAATGTATTGCCAAAAATATCTATTACAATAAAAATATTATAATAATGTTGAAGTAACCCTAAATTTAAATATTTTATTTTTTATAAGTATCAATATTAAATGAGAATTAATTCTAAAAATACCTGAATTTGATGTTCTAATTCACGCTGCCGTTCCCCATCTCTTTTTAAATCATCAGTTAATTTGTCTTTATGTTCATTCTTGTCTTTTATTTGTTTATTTAAAGACCTATACAATTAAAATAGAAAGGCTTTAAAAAAGATTAAAAAAAAATTAAAACACTTAATCAAATCATATAAGTGGTGTTAACTATCAGAATAAACTTAAATAAAAGTCATAAATAAAATATAAATATTCACAAAATTGTATTACTTAAGTTCTTTTTGAATCCATTTATCACGATCTTCTTTGGATGTAAATTGACTTCCTCTTCCTTGTTTAGCATACAGTTCTTTTCTTTTTTGTTCTTTTAAAGCAAGCCTGAAATAGGTATAATATTTTTATTTATAATACATCAATTATCATAAATTTGAATTTATGAGTATATGAAAAACTATAATCATCTTACTCCCGAGTACAATCTTCTTCTTTCTTTTTTTGAGCTTCATACTTTGGTTTTAACTCTTGAAGTTCTGATTCTTTGGCTTTAATGGTATCTTGAAGTTTTTTCAATTCTTTTTCTGCCCTCTCCTAAAATATATACAATAATAATTATACATTTACATAAAAACATTTATAAGCTTAGAGTTTCTATCTTTTTTTTTAAAGCATACTTTTGAATTATTATCACCATCGACTTCATCCGTTAAATCTTTTATAGTAAAATCTAATTTTGTTTTTTGTTTAATTAACTCCTGTTGTTCTAAGCTTAAAGTTTCTTTTTCTTCTTTTGCAGCATGTACTTCACGTTTAGCATCACGTAACTGTTTTGCTGCTTTCTTTGCTTGATCAGTAGCATCTTTAACTTTAGATGCAAGTCGTTTTTGTTCTTCATCAAAATTATTTATTTTTCCATCCAACTAAACAAATAAATTTTTTTTAAATTTAAATTTTAAATATTTCAAAGTATTGATATGACATCTAAATATAATATTTACTTCTTCCAACTTTCGTTTAGTGTCTTTTAATTCACGGTCATGAATACAAAATTCCAATGTCCTTCTTTTTTTATCCCAGACTTGATACTCTTTAAGTTCCTCTTTTTCTTCTTCAAGAGTTTGTAATCGTTCTTCAATTGTTTTGATAAACTCAACAATTTTTTCCAGTTTAGTTTGAGTATCTAAAATGTTATTTATTAAATTATTAGAGAATAATTAATTATGAAATAAGATTTATTCCTAAGATAAATGTATATTACCTTTTAGTATATCAATTGATTCTTCTTTACGTTCATCGTAAACTCTGGTACCAGCAACTTCTCTCAAAAGTTTTAATCTGTGAGAATCTGGCGCAGTGGCCATTTGGTTTATCTGTCATAAATATTATGATAAATTACTAATTGTATATTTCATTTCAGTAAACAAATAATAGCAATAATACCTTTCCTTGTTTGACAATATAATATGGATTTGAATGAGAAAATCCAGCAGATTCTAATAAGTTAGTGACGTCTGACCTAGGGACCATTTTTTTATTTAGAAAGTACTGGTCTTTTTTGGCACCAATTACTCGTCTTAAAATAACTTCTTCTTTTTCAATCTAAAATAATTAATAGAACAATATTAAGTATATCATTTAAATCTTATTTAAATAAAATGATAACATTTTCAACATACTGGTAAACGATTATCAGTATTATCAAAGATAATTTCTACATAAGCTGTAACAACTCTGGGACCGGTTCCTTCATGAAGTAATGCTTGTCTTTGCTCAGGACGAAGATGTGAAAACTCATCACTAAGTACGAATTGTATGGCTAAAAATAACAAAATATATTACATAATTATCAAGTTATCAATGTTAGACAAATAATTTACCATAAAAGAAATTGCTTTTTCCAGATCCATTTCGGCCAACTACAAAATAAATTAAAGTTTATTTTTTTTAAATGTAAGAAACAATAACTTGAAAGATGAGAAACATTAGATTCTTAGTGGATAAAATTATACAAAAGTAAATTATAAATTGAATAAGAAAACTAATGATTACATTACTTTAAGATTATATATTTAATACATTTAATGTAAACCATTAACCATCAAAATGTATACACAAATAATAATGCATAACGTATACATACCAACAACATTATGTCTCTTGTCAAATGGTTCAACTACAGTTTGCTCCCTATAGCTTTTAAAACCATGTATAATAACCTAAAAGTCATAAGTAAATAATTATATACATTGTACATAAAGTTATAGGTAAATGTAAGATATATTTAATTTTCTAGTTTCACAAAATCAAAACAAAATACCCTGAGTAACTATTATTATAATATTAGTATATTAAAATACATATTAACATAATATTATTTATTTTCACTTCATGAAATAAAATTATAAAAGGTTATAAATAATAACTATAAATAGGTAAGCACCTACTAACAATAACAAATCTATATTAGGTACCTATGTATAATATTTTATGAGTTATACTAAAAATAAATGTATAAATGTGAAAAGTAATATTCTTGATTAAGAAATGAATTACATTTTGTAAGCCCATTACTATCAAATCTAATTTAATCAAATGTATTTAACAACATAACAAATTATACTATTGAACTATTTATAAAATTGAATTATATATAAAAATATAAAATCGAATGCGTTAATAATGTTACAATAGTACCCAAACAATAAATCTCAAACTTTTTGATATAATATAATGGAATAAAAATATAACTTAGATAAAAACACACAGTTAAGTATGAAACTTGGATTTTTGAAACTATCAACCAACCTTAATTTCATCCTTAACTGAAGCACTAAGAACAATATTTTATTGTTTTTTTTGTTAATAATAGATAAGTGGTATAAGCTAAAATGTTACTTAATTCTGTCACTTTACATTATTTGAGGCATTTGAGAGGGATTTGTAAAATAAATGTACAAACAATTTTGAATATTAGAAACAACCTATTTCTAACAATTTGATTAATTACAATTGGCTAATATTTTAGAATTAAAAATAGTCAACCTTTCGTTCTTATAACAAATTAATTCAATTACATGTATTTCAACGTACTCGATGCATACATTTGTTTATAAAATATAAATTAAGCAAAATCCGAGCTACAACATGAATAAGTACACTAATTAATCTCATAGACAGTTCATAAAAGGCAATGTCTGTTGAATAAAGACTGCAAGGGACCAACAGTATTTAACATTAAGTTTCATAAATTGAGTCTCATTCAAATCTTAAAGGAGATAAGATTAATTTTGCTTATGTATTTACGAGTTAAATCAAATTAGTTCAAAGGTTTTTGAAATACTCGACTGTATTAATGTTGACACAGGATGTGTGTTCGATAATCGTTGTACATTATAAATACAACACTATAACAAATTTAAACTTAATAAGTCGTAGATGTAAATATATCAAACATCACAATACCAAAAAATCCTTAAAATAAACACTTTTAATAGTCTATGTACACTAAAGGAATAGTAGATGATGATACAAAAGAAAATTGTTGTGTTGTTTGATTAAAATATGGTAATATAAGACTGTTCGATGAATTTCAAACGGAAACTGACTTTAAGATTTTTCGTTGAATTTGAAGCACAAACATTAGTGTATAAACTCTGATCTTAAATATACCTACACCAAATGCAAATAGATACTGTTCCACAAACTACCTTATGTTAAAACTGAGTTAAAACATATCATGCATCACCGTGTAGTTTAATTACATTTTATATTATTTTTTCGCCAAAATATAAGATTTAAGTAACAACAACATTCGATGCAAACGAATTGCGTATCAACCGCATCGATACGCTCAGAATATGAGAAAAGTCAAAGTGTAAACTCAATTGTGTACAATACCCGAGAATAAACAAAATAACATTATTGTAACGTGCACTGACCTGTTTGATATGCATTGTTTGATATTAATGCGTAACGCTGAAACGTTTAGTTCTTTTTGGCTAGCTTCGTTCCCGAAACAAACATAATATGTTCACTCCGCGTTTATTTTATTCAAAAAAATAATAATAATAATAATAATGAAGCGTAATCGAGTAAACAAAAATCAAAATGGGTCCCTTGTAGATACTATTACTATTATTATTTATTAGTGATAAAAATGACGCGGTGCAGTAGTGGAGGAGATGGGGTATTGAACCTCCAAGCAAGAAACGACAATTGTCCCAAGCGTTGTGTGTCCCCAACAGCCTCGTCGGAGTTTAGATCAATTTATTTATGCCTATCATACATAAATCATTCGTCTATGATGCCTATGATTGATGCTGCATTACAATACTGTCTGCTCTATAATTTTGTATTTTGCGACGTCTTCTCTAGCTCGTCCGTTTCCACATGCCAAAATGACAATTCGATATTACAATTCATAAAGTCCACAGTGACATTATAAGTTAGGTAGCGTTTTTCGCGATTTCCGAATGCGTAAATAGGTATTGGGAAAAAGGCTTAATCCATTTAGCAATGTATTACGAACGATCTCGATGGAGGTTCAATCTCGAACAAAATGCCAAGATCGTAACATATGGCACAACTTTTGAATGTATTGATTAAATTACAAAAAACTAATAATAATAATAAACACGTCATGCAGATATAGGGTGGGTGACTGCACTACACCAGGGTAGGTATTTACAATATAATATTATATCGTTTGTACACAATAATCGTTCGTAAACTGTATGAGCAGAGCAACTGATGGCGACCCGCGTAGGTACCTTTTTTTTTTATCAAGCCCTTGCGACATTTTCGCTGTTTATTTACAAATTACGTTATTCGTAAAAGATTAGAATAGTCATAATAAAGTACTATGACATCAAAATGGTCCACTACCTACTTCGAGTTTCTGCCTACAGTAACTGCTATTGTAACAATATATGAGGACTCGTATTAATTTTCCAAACTTTTTTAGCCAACAAATAAAATTTTTATTGACATTCATAGAAAAAAAAAGTGGGTCACTGTAATGGACGGTGTCACATTTGAATTCAATGATATAATATCATTGTATAAGATAAACGATTCTGAGCGAAAACGGTCAGCCTATGATATTACGTACCGTAAGAGCGGGATACTTTGCTCCAAATATATTTCTTTTTTAGTTTGAACCTATACTATAGCTTCAATAACAAAGATAAAAATTACCTGTTCGCGTTGTTATATATATATAGATGTTAAGAGGTAAGAACAATTCAAAAAAATCCGAATGTCGTACTAGTGACTTACTTACTTATTCCCAAAAGTTTGGAGCAAAGTTAAAATACATTGCAGGTTACATTGCACAATGATTAAAATTACCCTACTTTAATGCATATAATAACTATTGGTGCAATGTTTAGTGCTTGTGTTTTAACTTATTTGAACCTATACTTAATATAATTTAATAATATATTTTTTTTTTTTTTTTTAGTTGATTAAAAGTCTTTTTTCAATACATTTTAAATTAAATTTCAATCCCCTAGATTTTGAATAACTTTTCCGTTATGTATTTTTGTGTTTTTGAAAACCATTTTTTACATGATATACATCTTGGAGGAAAACTAATAGATTCATGTCCGTAATTTTTGAAAAAATTAGTAATGTTAATAAGAATAATATAAAAAAACTACAATCTCTGATCTCAAAATCGTAATGTGCTACGATTGATATCAATAAAAATTTTTTTGGAGCAATGTTTAACCCCTGGAGTAAAGTATCCCGCTCTTACGGTACCTACTGAGTATATTTGATGATATTATTGTGAATAAAGTAATTTATATATTTACCTATTTACTTGGACCATTGTTTAAATTTTCAATCCTTAGCTATAAAAGTTGAACATATTATACATTTTTAACTACAAAATAATTATTAAATTTATAATATGATAAATTTTGTCGAAATTCGAACTTGAACCAGTTGAACCTAAATAATTATAAAAAGAAATTGTGTCTATGTATTTTTAATATTTTTCAACTGCTATTGTTACAATATATCAGGAGCCTTGCATTAAATTTTCACTCTTTTTTACACAACAAATAAAATTTTAATGGTATTTATAGAAAAAAAAAACTAAGAAAATTGAAAACTGACAATGTCCGTAAACAGCTCATAAAGAGTCAAAATATTCTCAAATTTTTATTGTGTATAGAAAATGAAAGTATAAGCTACCAGTGAAAATTTCATGTACCTATTATACGTTCATTTTTTTTTAGAGTTACACCAAAAACCAAAATCAATTTTGTGGAAAACCGATTTTGCGTAAAAATTCCCGTATTTCCTTAATTTTGATGTTGTTTTTCCCGTCGCTTTTGAAAATTATTGGGAATTTTAAAATTTGACCTGCCGAATGCACCAACTAGATTTACTTTCCCGTCGAACAAGATACCGTTGAAGAAAATCGAAGCAGTTTTACCTCCCTAAACCGTGATGACAGACACAAAAAAAAAATTAATAAAAAAAAAAACACGCTTTTTTGTAAAATTATTACATTCATCTTTTCACTCAGAATCTAAAAAACTAAAAAAAATTGGAATTTTAAAATGTCCGTAAACAAAGCAAATCAAAATATTTTTATATTGTATCGTGTATAGAAAATGCTAATATAACCAAACAGTGAAAATTGAATGTATCTACCGTCATTGTTTTAGAGTTACGCACCAAAAACCAAAATCGATTTTGTCAAATACCGATTTTGCGTAAAAATTCATGTTTTTCCAGTGGTTTTGAAAACTATTGACAATTGTACATTTTGAATTCACCAACTTGATTCACTTTCTAATCGAAAAAGATACTGTTGAAGAAAATTTAAGCAGTGTTACTGCCCCAAACGGCGATGACAGACACACAAAAAAAAAAAAGGTGGGTAAGTGGATGTCGCTCTGCTGTACAGCAGGTTACAAGTGGGTCACTGTATAATTGATGCTATTAAATTTGAATTAAATGATACAATATCATTGTATAAGAAAAACGATTCTGAGCGAAGACGGTATGTCAGTCTAGGTTTAAGACAAATTATATACATATCTATGGTATTAAAAAAAAATTGACCTATAATAAATTCCAAATTAATCATATCACATTATCACAATATCCATTAGGTACTTATAACACGTTATACATGAACATCAATAACAAACCCTGATACTATCATAGATATATAATAGTACACTTTAGAAGTTTCAAGTAGGTACCAACGAATAATATTATATAATCACAACAAAATAACTAGGTTTTTTAATATGTAATTTCATCCAAATTTGAACATAAAATGACTATAAAAATAAACTGTGATTGTATATTTTTTAGATTTTTCGGTAAGAGAATTAACTACTTACGTGGAATCTTGTTTTAAATTTTCAATCCTTAGCTATAAAAACTGAACATTTTATAATTTATTAATTACGATGGTTAATAAATTTCGAGATTTTGAAAAATTCTGTCAAAATTCGATGTTTAAATGCTTATAAAAAAAAATTGTGCCTATGTATTTTTAATATTTTTCAACTGATATTGTAACAATATATCAGGAGCCTTGTATTAATTTTTTACATTTTTTGGCCCAACAGATAAAACTTAATTGATATTTATAGAAAAAAAAAACTAAAAAAATTGAAAACTGAAAATGTCCGTAAACGGCTCAAAAAGTGTCAAAATATTTTCAAAATTGTAGGGTGTATAGGAAATGCTAATATAAACATTCAGTGAAATTTTCATGTATCTACAGTAATTCGTTTTTTAATTACAACAAAAAAAGGAAATTGCCACATGAGAAATCGAGTGAATATCCAATGTTGTAAAAATTTGAATTTCAAACGCTCATAAAAATTTAATTTGACTTTCCGGTAGAGATTTTTGTATTGATAAAGGTAGACAATCTTATGAGTAATCTTGTATTAGATTTTCAAATCTTAGATTTAAAAAGAAAAATTTTTACGAATTCTTAACTCAAAATAATTTGCTAATTTTCGTGATTTTTCCATATTTTGTCAATTTTTGAACTTTAAATGGTTATAAAAAAAAATTGTGACTAAGGATTTTTAATATTTTTTTGCCTTTGAAACAACATATTAGGAGCCTTCTATTAAATTTTCAAGCTTTCGCAACCAACAAATAAAATTTTATTGCTATTTTTAGAAAAAAAACTAAAAAAAAATGGAAAATGAAAATGTCCCTAAACAGTTCAAAATAAATCAAAATATTTTGAAAATGTTATCGTGTATAGAAAATGCAAATATAAACAACCAGTGAAAATTTCATGTATATACGTTCATTTGTTTTAGAGTTACACCAATAACCAAAATCGATTTTTTGGAAAATCAATTTTGCGTAAAAATTCCCGTTTTTCCTTAATTTTTATGTTGTTTTTCCCGGCGCTTGTGAAAACTACTGGGAAATTTAAATTTTGACCTCCCCAATGCACCAACGATATTCACTTTCCAATCGAACAAGATACTGAAGTCGAAAATCGAAGCATTATTTCGACTACTTATCGTGTACACAGATACAAAAAAAATAAAAAAATAAAAGAATAAATATAAAAACACACATCATTGTAAAATCAATACATTCATCGTTTCACTCAGAATCTAAAACACATCATTATTGTAAATTCAATATATTCACCTCTCCGCTCAGAATCTAAAATTAAAGAAAAAAGAGGTAGGTATTTTAAGCTTTTACCAGATAAGTTTTAGAAAAAAAAATTTTGTTTTTTGTTGTAACTCTTATAAATATGACCGTAGATACATGATTATTTCACTAAATATTTATATTAGCATTTTCTATACACAATACAGTTTTCTAAATATTTTGAATCATGTTGAGCTATTTATAGGCTTATGAAATTTTCGATTATTATTAGTTTTTTTTAATTAGTATCGATAAAAAATTTTAGCTTGGTCAAAAAACTTGAAAATATATAATAGGTACAATGTTCTTCGTAAATTGTTGTTAGTTGAAATTAAAAAATTTTAAAAAAAGTTGAGCGTAAATCTACAGAATTTTTATTTTTTTTATGAGCGTCTGAAGTTACAATGTTGAAAATTTGCAAATTATTTTGAGTAAGAAATTCATAAAATATTTTATTTTTATATCTTAGATTTAAAATATTAAAATATTAAAACAATATTCGTTTTAAGTTTGTCTACCTTTATTGAAAAGAAATGTCTACAGAAAAGTCAAATTAAATTTTACATGTGTTTGAAGTTCAAATGCTTACATCAGTTTTACATTCACTCGATTTCTCATAGAATGATTTTCTTATTAGTTATTTTGTTGTACCTAATTCAAAAACGAATAGCAATCTGATACTTGAAACGTACTCCACATGTTTATTTTATAATTTTCCGTACTCGATACAAATATGTTGACTGTTTAGAGTTGTTTACGGACATTTTAAATTATAAATTTTTT